GGTTCTTGCTTTCTGATTTTTTATTCAAGCAATGACTTTGAACCAAAGACTTGACACAGCCATCTGGCATGAGGGCCAAAACAAATGATAAAATAAAATAAAAAAATAAACTGCATTAAAGGATGACTGAGAAATATCTATTTATTGAATGCTTAACTATTGTTGAGAACACAAGAAAACCACAATACATTTTGTGGTATTTATAGTTATAGACAGATGCCTGGCTTTAGTGCATTATTTTATAAAGGGCTCAAAAACATTAATGTATAAAAAATTACGAATAACAGCCGATACCAATGCCAACAGCAATATATCATGCATCCCTAGTATGGATGGAACTTCACTTCCATCCATCCATCCATGCATGGCTTCCCTTTAAGCTGCATCAGTGATTATCCTCCTTCACAAACAGCAAAATCAAATATAGAAATTTGTCCCAAATTGCATATTTTTTCTTTTAAACTTGGGAGATATATTTTATTTCATGTTGCATATCCCAGTAAATCTGTTTCACCTTTAAATCAGCAGCTTTCCCTAATTGTGTCTTTGCTCTGCTTAAAAACCGATTGATGAACCTGTCTGCCAATATAATGGTGCCAGAGAAAATCCTTTTCAGGATCTTTAGAAGCTCTGCAGTCTGATTCTCTGATCAATAAGAAAACTACAGATATTTGTTAATTTTGATCTGTAATGAGTATGGTCCTGAGAAGCCCAGCTTCTTTAACTCATATAAATGTACAATCTGCTGCCATTTTTAGCTGAAAAAGGGGAATATGTGTAATTAACGGATTTTTCTGTGGCATCTATGATTTTTTTTAACCAACCTGTCTCCTAAATTTAACTTAAACATATATCTGAGTAGCTGCCAGTTAAAATTCACTGAGTGCTGTTACGAATGTATGTTAAAACGGCTTGCCATATAGGGTATCTCATCTTCTCCTCGTGCCTATCTGTACGCAGTAAATAGCGACCCCAAATAATATCATGTCCCAAAGCGACAGATCCCATGATATTTCACCCGAGAGGTAGGATTCAAGAGCAGTGGGAGAGCAAGGAAAAAAAACACAGACAGCTGCGCCTGACCCCAGTTACTGTTGGCTGCAGTAAATCAGCTGAAAGGAGGAAAAAAGCGGATATTATTGGTGGGAACTGTCCCCTCCATGCCCAAAGTTGGTGGGGACATGTCCCCTCCATGCACAAAGTTGGTGGGGACATGTCCCCTCCATGCCCAAAGTTGGTGGGGACATGTCCACACCAGTCCTTCAGAAAGTTACGCCAGAGAATGAGTCAATGCAGTCAACCGATTTTCCTTAGATAGAAAACTTTGAATCAATTTGACTGGATGATCTGGTTGAACTGTAAAGTGCCTTGAGATGACATGTTTTGTGAATTGGCGCTATAGAAATAAACTGATTGAATTGAATTAATGTACAGCAACTGGGTTTATCTCTGTCCTCCCTCTGTATTGGTCATCTGATGTGGTGCAAGTATCAATCAGTAATTTTGTTATTTTAAAGCTGTCTCCTTCAATGTAATGCATACCTCCTATATGGAATAAATCTATTTTCCATCTTATCCACACACTATGAAGCACAAAGGCTTGTTTTCTTGATCCAGTCTCCCATATTTTGCATCCCCATCTCCTGTTTAAACAAGCAGCCAAGCCACAAATAGGCTAAACTAAAGAAAACAAGGACAGAAGTTTTGTAGAGTGTATGTGAGAAAACAGCAGAGTAAGAGGATGTGAGCAGAGAACTGGGGGACAGAAAGTAGTGTTTAATATTTATTGGAAAATGTAAGGAAAATGTAAAAGAAGTGCCTTTGAGTGAGCAGGCAGGATTAGCATAAATAGTTTAAGGCTTGAATGTGTTTGGTCCTGCTCCTGACAAAGCTGTGCCATTTTTTTTCCATAACACACAGAGAAATATGCATTTATTTGCACAAATATCTATCGATGCTTGTGCAAATATCTCTATGAGCAAATATTCAAACATGCAAACACACACTTCACACATGTGTTGTGTTCCTATCCTTGTTGGGACTTTCAATTGATTTCAATTCATTTCCCACTAATTTCTATGGCATAACTCAGACCCTAAGCCTGACCATCACCAACACATACATCCCTATAAACCATAAACCTAGCCCAAACTTATTTTATACCATAGTCCTAAACTTAAACCCCACCCCTAGCACAGAGCTTGTCCTGATGGGGACCAATCGTTGGTCTCTACTAGAATATATAAGTCCCTAAAATGCAGCATATTGCTGGGAAATCATCCCCATAAGGTAACAAAAACATGGTCTCATACACACACACATTGTATTTCTATCCATATTAAGACTTTATATTGACTTACATTTATCTTAGTTAATGTACCTATGCCTAACAAGAGTTTGCCTAACAATTATCAGTATATTTCCAATCCTAACCATAATCCAAAGCTTATTCACAACATTACATTTATTTATTTGGCCCACATGCAGATCCCACTTGGGAGACAGGTAGCAGATCAAGGTATTTATTAATGCTCACAAGTAATACAGATCAGTGAGAAATAAATCACAGCGGGTCATCGCCAGGTAGAGCCACGAGACTGGGGTTTGCTCGATCTAAGAAAGGAAGAGAGAGTTTAGATGGCGGACTGAGGACGGGCTGCGTGTCAGAGAGGTACGTAAAGCTTACCACAGAGCTCAGAAAGCAGACCAGAGAGGTGGAGCAGAGGAGCAGACTCAGCGCTGCCCTGGAGGAGGAAATCCGGTGACTGGATGACTGATGAGCGGGCCGGGGAAGCTCGAGCGGGGTCTGAGCTGCGCCGTTGGAAGCAGTGATCAGCGATCAGCTGTTGACACCAGGCGAGCACGGGGGGAAATGCCTGGAGCAGGATCAGAGCAGTGAGTGAGATCCCGGGCATGAAGATACCTGGGAGACAGAGGAGAAAGGGATCAACGCAGGGATCATTTGAGCTGTCAGAAGACAGTGGCCAACTGTGGCGTACCACACAAGGTTAACACTCTGGCGTCCTCCAGCTATCAGAGAGCTGTTCTTATAGCGCAGCCAAACACACCGCAAAACGAGCCGCAGGTGCGTACCACGCCCACCAGTCAACTCCAGTCACCTGTGGAAAGAGCAGAGGCAGAAAAATGCACAACGTTACCTGCCGAGTCCTGACACTTAACTTACTCTCTTACATTAAATATCTGCCAGATTAAGACCAGCCTTCGGTCTCCAGGTCTTCAGAAGATTAATAAATATACCAGAAACTGTCCTAAATAGCTAACATAAACAGATATACACATACACACAACTTATCTGACTATCTTTGCGGGGCCTTTCCATTAATTTTCTACAGCCTAACCTTACCATTACCCTATACCTAACCATACATGTTCATACCTAACCCTAACCCTGGCCTAAGCTTAATTCACACCTTAGTCCTAAACGGGACCCCAAACCCATTTAATTACTGTGAGTTTCAGGATTCACTCTTCCTAAATGATAATGTAGCAACAGCAAAATTTTACTTGTTAGGGTTCTGTTGTGATTCCGTAAAAGTTCAAAAAATATGCACTGGACTTGGTTTCCAAGATTTAAAGACGTTTCGCTACCTCTCCAGGAAGCTTTCTCTATTCAATTCTCAGTTCTGTTTGTAGGGATTATTTTTGTTTTTTTTCTTTTAGTTTCTCCTTCCACCACTAGATGGTGCCCTTTCTCCGTTCTGGCTTGGAGAGCGGCTTCCGGGTTTTTCCTCCTCACCTGCGGCTTGTTGGGTTATTACCAGAGGAGTATAAAAGCAGTGGACTGTCACCACTTCGACACCAGAGTGTTTGCCAGTATTGGTAAACCTCCCGATCCGCTGGATAAGCCTGGTCCTTCTCCTCCCTTGGATGGAAATCTTTCGTCTGTCATTGAGCAAGGGAAAACCTTCACCTTAGCAGTTCATGCCCACCTCTGGAAAATCCTGTGACAGTCCGCTCCGTTGCTCCTCTGGACCCATCACTAGTCTGCCTGTCCGCCCTCCAAGGAGTACAATCTTGTCTGGACAATACCCCCACAAACTGGACCCAAGAATCTACCAAAAACCCCTTTATGTGAGTCATAACTGAACCATTCATCAGCCTCGTTCTTTTTCCCTTCGGTCCTTGAACTCACCACTCTCATCTCCCCCTAGAGAGTTTTCTGGTTTCAATTTACCAAACCGCTGGATCTACCCCCACCGAGATCCTCCTTTGTTTATCTTTTCCCCCACGCTGAGGAAACCCTGTGTAGTCGCTCTGAGATCCTCCTTTTTTTGGTCTATCCTCCCAGCTGAGATTACTCTGTTTACCTCTCTGAGTTAAATTGTTTGTTCCTCTTTATTTCATTCCTGTTAATAAATTGGTTAACCTTAACCCTGCCTCTGAGTGGTGTTCTGCATGTGGGCTAACTTTAGGAACCCATCATGACATTACTTGCATTTCTGTGTTGACCATGTAGCCTCACATCAAGAATACATCTAGTGACAGCAGAGAGGATAAACTCCCTTTTAATCTCAAAACCTACCGGCGCCGGTAAACCGTTTCAAAGCGTTTACAACTAACAACTCAACTAACATGAAAATTACACCGGTAAAATGTTTACCAATGTGTTAGAAAATCGTTGGTGTCAGTTTAATAAACTTTTTTTTTCTTGCTATTAGCTTTCAATAAAGACATTGAAAAATGCTGCCAGTCAAAACAATAAGAGCAGAAAAGATTATCTCTCTCCACAATTATACTATGAGAATTGTATTATCTTAATACTAAAGGGTATAATTTTCACACAAAGTGAAGTCTGTTCTATCACTTTTCCAGCTCATCTCCAATGTCAATATTCCAATGTCTATTTTTATATCTGTATTCTACATTAGAGATTTATTGGTAGATTTGTGCTGTTGAAGTAGCATGGAAGTAACCTAATGGAGATTATCGGATATTTAGTAATGAATATTTGTTTAATAATTAACTTGATGTGTATTTACAGTCCCTGTGTTCAGAGATTCAAATGCGGCGACGAGGAGTTGCTTCTGTGCTGAAACTGTGCCAGAAGATGTTGCAGCAGAGCCAGGTAAGCAAAATAAAACAATAATTAAAAGGCCAATAGTTTGACGAAAGGAAAAAAAATATATGACAAGAACAGGACCAGGTAAAAAAGATAAAGTAGTAAACATTAGTATACTTAATTCATTGATTATCTTGTGGAATTATTTTTAAAAGTCTGTTAAAGAAAAACAAAATTTTTATGTCACCTAAATTTCACAAATTAATCTTTCTTTCTCAGTTGAGTCTGGTGGCGGAAACAAGCCCCGAAACGGAGCAGCACCGAGAGGCCCTGCAGCTGATGTCAATCAACCTGGAGAGAAGGTGGGAGGCCATAGTGATGCAGGCACTACAGTGGCAGAACAGACTGAAGAGGGAGCTGGGAGAGCAGGTTGGACTTCCCTGATATTTACACTTTACATCCGTCATTTCACTCTCCTAGCAGACAGACACATTTCCCCTCGAAAAGAAAGACAGTGTTTGATTTAATGCTAAAGTGTCTTCTAAAGAGAGATGTTGTGACTTATATTACATCATTTTCTCCTCAGAGTTTTCCTCACTTCAGCTACGTCCAGGTTTAGTCCCTCCTCCCCCTGGTGTGGAACAGCTTTCACTGCTGGAGGCTGTTTAGTGCCTCAAACCTTCCAGAGAAGTTGTTCAGTTCATTTAGGAAGTCAGTGTTTGCTGCATCTACCGGGGGGAAGGGTGTGTTGTAGTCCGAGATCGTCCGAATGCCTTTCCACATCCTCCTGGTGTTGCTGTCGTAGTGGAAAAGATCCTAGATCTTCTGGTTGTGGTTTTGCTTTGCTGATCTGATGGTACGGTTTAAGTTGGCACACGCTGTTCTTAGTGCCTCTTTATCACCAGACTTGAAAGCTTTTAGCGATTTCCGAACCTCTCCATTTATCCAGGGTGGTTGGTTGGCCTGGGTGGTGATGTTCTTTTTGATGCTGATGTCCTCAATGCATTTGTTGATGTAGGCTGACACGGTTATGGCATACTCATCAATATTTAATAAGTTGTCATATGTTGCTGCAGCCTTGAAGATGTTCCAGTCAGAGCATTAAAAACAGTCTTGGAGTTTCTCCATGGCTCCCTCAGACCACACTCTGACCTCTTTAACTGTCGGTTTAGCAACAATAAGCTGGGATTTATATGTAGGGATAAGCATGACCAAGAGATGATCTGATGACCCGAGGTGGGGGCGGGGGGCTGCTCTAAATGCATCTTTGATGTTAGAGAAGACCAGGTCTAAAGTGTTTTCCCCCCCGAGTTGCAAAGTCTACATGTTGGTAAAAAATTAGGGAGAACAGTCTTAAAGTTAGCCTGGTTAGCAATAATGAAACACCCTCTGTGTCCAGCTTTGAGCTCAGAGTATAGAGTCTTCATGGCCTCTTTTGCATTAGCACTGGGGGGCACATAAACAGCAGTAATGTTAACCCCACTGAACTCTCTGAGCAGATAGAACGATCTGCAGTTAATAGTCAGAAACTCAATGTCTGGAGAGCGGAAGCTGGTGACCGATCTAGCCTTCTTGCACCAGCTGTTGTTGATGTAAACACAAAGCCCACCACCCCCAGTCTTACAGCTTAGTTCTTAGTTCATATCGTCGCGGTATAGTGGTAGCCCCTTCAGGGTAATAGCATTGTCCTGTATTGCAGCCATGACTCCATCAGACTGATGGCGCAGTAATTACTAATCCCCTTTTTTGAAGAGAGTTCGAGTCGAAGATTATCCATTTTGTTTTCCAGCAGGATTGATGGAAGTGGAGGTCTGTGATGATTTCTCTTTAGCTTCACAGTTAGCCCCCCCTCTGCATCCTCGCTTTCTCCGTCTTTTGGGGGTTATGTTCCACTGTTGTGTTCTTGAGATCTGTCCATAGCACTCCGCAGCTTTTTAAACGGTCAAAAATGTTAGTATTTGAAATATTTAGTGACCGTAGCACCAGCAGGCGTTGGTGATCATAGATGTGGGTTTGAAGTCTAGTTTGTATCATTTTAAGCGGCATATTGTGTGAAATTGTCAAGATGAGCTGTTCTTGGCCGCTGCTTTGTAGTGCCCCTATGGTAACCTGCTTTTTTTAATTTATTTTTTGCCACCCTTATCCTCCATTGGAGCTCTCGCTGTACTCAACACTGCTTTTCTCTGTCCCCTGAGTTGAAAGCCATTTTTTTCTGGTTCAGGAGGACTTTCAGCTCAGGGTTCATCCAGAGGTGGTTGTTTGGAAAGCTCCATAGCTGTCGTGTGGGCACAGTGCTCTCCACACAGAAGGTCATGTAGT